GGAAATCTCAAGAAAATACAAAGAAGACCAATAGAATAGAGGAAGGGAACCAAAGAGAAGGAGGAGGGAAGGGAAAGGGGAACTGGGGAATGAAACTGACCAAATTGGGCTGGGGATGTGGTGCTGAGGATCGGGTTCGATCCTCAGCACCACATAAAACAAAGATGTTGTGTCCGCCGAAAACTAAAAATAAATAAATAAGTATTTAAAAAAAAAAAAAAAAGAAACTGACCAAATTATATTATTGTATTGTGTTATAGTGTGTGCATGTACCCATTTGTAACAATGAATCCCACCATTATGTATAGTTATAATGCATCAATATAAAAGACTTTAAAAATAGAGGAAGGATTAAATGTAATATACCAATGTAAGGACACTCAGAGCAATAAAATAGAATAAACCCTCACATATATAGTCAGTCGATTTATTTATTTAGTTAGTTAATTTTTTTAATTATTATTATTTTTTGTGCTGGGGATTGAACCCTGGGCTTCACATCTGCCAGGTAAGTGTTCTACCACCAGGCTACACCCCCTGCTCTGGCCAGCTAATTTTAAAAAATATTTTTTTTTGGTTGTAGATGGACACAATACCTTTATTTATTTTTATGTGGTGCTGAGGATCAAACCCAGTGCCTCATGCATAATAGGCAAGAGCTCTATGACTGAGCTTCAACCCCTGCCTTGGTCAGCTAATTTTTAACAAGGATGCCAAAACTATTCAATGAGAAAAGGACAACCAGTTCAACCCAAGTTTAAGAACTACACTAAAACTGAAGAGCAAACTTATAAATTTTTAGAAGAAACTATAGGGGAAAATCTTTGTGGTATTAGATTTGGCAATAATTTCTTGGATGTAATACCAAAAACAAAGAAAAATACTGGCTTCATCAAAATTTAAAATGTGGGGTGGATGAGGGTATAGCTCAGTGGTAAAAGTACTTGCTTAGTACTTGCCACATAAAAATAAAGATACAGTGTATTCATCTACAACTAAATAAATATTAAAAAAAAAAAAAAAAAAGAGGGCTGGGGTTGTGGCTCAGCAGTAGAGCATGTGCCTAGCATGTGCAAGGCCCTGGGTTCAATCCTCAGCACCACATAAAAATAAATAAAATAAAGGCATTGTATTCATGTACAATTAAGGGGAAAAAAAGGGAAGGGGATCAGGGAAGGCATAACCGAAAACATCTCAACAAAGGGTTGATATACGGGGCAGGAGAGGAGAAAAGAGCACGTGCTGTGATCCAAAGTGTATTTGAGGGGACGAATGGAAGCAGGGTCAGTCATAAAGAGCCTTTTATACTATGCTAAGGGGTTTCAATTTTGTCATGAAGCTAATGGAAACCAGTTACCAGTTTGAACAGGAAAGTTAAGACAAGGTTGCATTTTAGAAAATAATGGATTGGAGCCAGGACACACATCAAATGGCTACTGTAGTAATATGGAAAAGTTATGATGGTAGCTGGGACTAGGATTTTGGCATTTAGTCACAGACATAGCCAAAAAGGATTAAATTGGTTCCTGGTAATAGTTGAGTGAAGAGTAATCAATGATCAGGTTTCTGGCTGAGACACGAGTTCCATGTGTCAGATACTGTGCTAAATACTTGACACACATTATCTCCTTTAATCTGTACCACAAACCTGTGGATAACATTACCCTTACTTTACAGGAGAAAACAAGGAAAGGTTAAGTCATTCATCAAAAGTATGACTAAATCCAATTTTTTTTTTTGTATTTTATTTAGACATAGGGTCTCACTGAGTTGCTTAGCCCCTACTTTTTGCTGAGGCTGGCTTTGAACTCGAAATCCTCTTGCCTCAGCCTCCTGAGCCACTGGGATTACACGTGTGCTAAATCCAAATTTTTAATCTAGTAAAAAATTATTTACATAAGGGCTGGGATTGTGGCTCAGCGGTAGAGCGCTCGCCTAGTGCGGGCATGACCCGGGTTCGATTCTCAGCACCACATAAAAAAAAAAAAAATACAGGCATTGTGTTGTGTCCATCTACAAAAGTGATTCTGTCTTTTTTTAAAAAAATTATATACATAAACTTGTATGGAAAAGAAGCTAAAACATTTGTTTTCCTTTCAATTGCCTATATTAACACATCACTCTTATTCCTTTACCTTGTTAATATAGTGTTATTCCTTAAAATAACACATGTGACAGCACAAGCCTTTAATCCCAACTCAGAAGGCTGAGACAGGATTGCAAATTCAAGCTAGCTTCAGCAATTTATCAATGCTCTAAGCAACTCAATGAGACCCTGTCTCAATATTAAAAATAAAAAGGGATGGGGATGTGGCTCAGTGGTAGAGCACCCCTGGGTTCAATCCCCAGTACCCCCTCCCCCCAAAAAAGGGGGGGTGGTAAACACTGGTCAGTGCCTAGGAAGTCCTGTCCTGATGATAAGGACTCTCAAGAATGTGGGAATGTGAGTAAGGAAAAGGGAAACTGACCACACTTCCCTTCTCTCCCAATCTTTTAAGTGGGGGTCAAAGCAGAGCAACCTTGGTTGTAAAGGAATGTACTCATAAAATATCTGAAGAAATTCATTTGTGCAGTAAGCACACAACATATTCTGTATTTTCCCCTCTACTTATAGGGTTAGTGCAGCCCACCATGTTGTCCTGGCCTGGTCGAAACTCTCTCTGTTGGTCCTCCAAGTTGTTGTTATAAATACTTTTAGTTGTAGATGGACACAATAACTTTTTTTTTTTTACTTTTATTTAATTTTTAGTTGTCAATGGACCATTATTATTTATTTATATGTTGTGCTGAGAATCGAACCCAGTGCCTCACACATTCTAGGCAAGTATTCCACCACTGAGCCACAACCCCAGCCCCCCAATCCAAGTTCTTTAAGATCAATAAACAGTGTGCTGGGGCTTTTGCAGCCCTGGGGTTAAACACAATATTTTCAGTGAACATATAGGCAAATTCTTATTTCAAACTTTGTTTTTTTGGCACTGGGGGTTGAACCCAAGGCCACTTAACCACTAAGAAACATTCTCAGCCCTTATTTGTATTTTATTTAGAGACAGGACTTCATTAAGTAGCCAAGGATGGCTTTGAACTCATGATCTTCCTGACTTAGCCTCCAGAGCCACTGGGATTACTGGCATGTGCCACCGCACCCGGCCTTATTTCATACTTCTGAAAACTTGAAACTACCAAATTATTCAGGAATCTAGATTTTAAAGGGATATGTGCTTCCAGAGCAGTACACTGTAAGATCATTAAGTTAAAATAGGAGCCTGGCGTGATGGAGCATGCCTGTAATCCCAGTGGCTCAGGAGGCTGAGGCAGGAGGATCTCAAGTTCAAAGCCAGCCTCAGCAAAAAGTAAGGGGCTAAGCAACTCAGTGAGACCCTATCTCTAAATAAAATACAAAATAGGGCTGGAGATATGTGGCTCAGTGGTCAAGTGCACGAGTTCAATCCCTGGTATCAAAATATAAATAAATAATAGGAGACCTGTCAGAGGCATTTCTGTGACTTGCTGGATTTCACAGGTGCCCAGGATAAGGGTAAGCAGTATTTATCTACCATCTTGTAACTGAATAAGATCCAAAGCACCCCTCCTCTAAACCCAGTACAGGGATAAAAGGATTAAAACAACCCCTACTCATTAAACCACCATGCAGTCACCTGCTAGCTTCTCAGAGCAGGAAATGGACAGTTTTTCTCCAGGATATCACAGCACAAGTAGACTGAAAGTTTTGTCAGTCCCACCCAATACCCATTTATGAAGCACCCTAACTATCTGCTAAGACCCACCACTGTTCACCAGTCTGGAGAGCATGGACAATTGTCAAGATTAAAGATTAGGACAAGCAGGAGACAGTTTCCAGGGGCTAAGTCAATTTCAGTTCTCAGTTACCCCTTTAACATTTTTGAAGGAGCTCAGAAACAACTTTAACCGGAGGGAACACTGCCATGTAATAGGTCTGGTTCTGATAATGCAAACATGCTACTATGGCAAGAGGTCATTGCTTCAAATTAACTGAAAAGGGATTTGAGACCAAATTCACAGACTGAAAGGTGATTTGAAGTATCTATGTCTAATTCACTAACTTGTTAGTTTATATAAATATAACAAATTTGAGGACCATATGTCTATAGATTCTTCTCCAAACATAATATTTGCCAAGGTCAAGGAGATCTTGTTTCTAAGCAATTTCTAAGGAGGTTTTACTGGGCCTGACTACTGACTACTGACGAATAGAATTAAGATGATGAAGTCCTGAGAAGCAAGGACCACTGCGATTCCAGGATATCTTCTTGCAATCTCTGCTTAATCAATCAACAAGTATGCTAAATGTGAAAAGAAAAATTTAAAAGAATTAAGGCCAAAATCTGAAGTCACTGTATCATACCACAAGGGGGCAATGTTTGAACACTAGCAACATGAAGTATTTGGCAGATGCTTTGTTTATTTCCCTTCTTAACACTGAGATGACTGCAGCCGCTGAGAGGTGGGCTGGCCTCTGCCTTCTCTCTAGGGAGCTGGCACTAACTCTTAATACTGGCAACACAGCTTTCAAGGGACCAAGAAGAGAGGAAGCTGACAGCAGGAGGAAAAGTGGAGCAGCTGATCTTTTCATCCAGGTCGGATAAACATACCCAGTAGCGCCTAGACGTTGAGGTCGTGGTAGTGGTAACAGTGGTTCTCAAACTATAGCAGGTATCAGAATCACCTGCAGCCCTGTTAAAATAGATTGCAGGACTTCAACCCCAATTTCCAATTCAAAAGACCTAAGACCTAAAGTAGGGTCCCATAATTTGCACTGCAAACAAGTTCTCCCAGGTGATGCTGCTGATGCTAAGGACACATTGAGAACCACTGCTATAGAGTATTTCTGGCTCTGCGCCCTTCCTTCAACAGTCTCCTATTCTGTCTTTTGTATCATCTACTACTTTCTTTTCTACCATCCCTCTTTAGCCTCCTTTAGGAAAACTAAAGGACAGACAGAAAACAGGAATGAACACTGATGTTAAACTTGTCTTTTATTGCTCTGGCAAGGATTCCACCACTTCAGCCTACTGTTAAGGTATTCTGGAAGCAGATTTATTCCAAATACATAAATAATTCCTCTCCTCTTTGTTCAATGGTTGCACAGGGATGCGGGGAGTAGCTCAGTAAAAAGTAACTGATGCTTTTCCAATAAGATTTTGCTTAAGGGCTCATAAAAGTGGGTAGAATATGGTAGGTATATGCCCCACCAGAGTTTGTAAATTTTCCTTACATACCCTAGAATTAAACATACTTACTGAAAAGACTTTTACAAAAATTACCATTTTTAAACTATTAAAGTGTGTAATTCAGTGGCATTAAGTACATTCACTTTTTTGTTGGCAATCATCACCATCTATCTTCAGAATGTTTTCAGATTTGCAAACTGACACTCTAGGCCCATTAAACAATTGCTGATAGCCCCCTTCCCTATCCTTTAACCACCACCATTCTTCTCCTAGACTACTTTTGGACTGTTTGTCTTTCACTTAATAAGAAAGACAGTCTACTGCTGACCAGTGGGGTTGCTTCTCTACATGCAAGTTTTCTTGCATATAGTCTATTTGAGTTTATTATAGAGAAAGAGGTGGAGACAAACTGGATGTGGGCCTCCTATCGGCATCTCAGCAGCCTTGCCATGGATCTGCCCGATTCTTTCGCATCAAAAAGTTGATCTTTCGAGCCATTTCCATGTTGTAGATCCGCCTGCAGGTTTCATAGCTTTCCCGCTGTCGCTTGCGGCAAGGTTTCTCATAGTATCTTCGTCGTTTAATGTCTTCAATGAGCCCATCCATGCTGAGGATTCTGTATGAAGGCAGGTAATCAGATTAGAAGCTTGGGCTCATTGCTGCTTACAAACTCCAAATGGGAGGAGTCATTTGTAATTTAAAGAAATATAAATCTTTTTTTTTTTTTAATTTTTTTCTTTTTTTAGTTGTAGATGGACACAATATCTTTATTTTTATTTACTTATTTTTATGTGGTGCTGAGGATCGAACCCACAGCAAGCACTCTACCACTGAGCCACACCCCCAGCCCAGAAATATAAATCTTTAGGGGGTGATTCCTACTTGGTCCTTAGTGGAGAATACGGTTCCATTCTTTTTTTTTGGGGGGGGGGTGCTGGGGATTGCACTCAGGGGCACTCGACCACTGAGCCATATCCCCAGCCCTATTTTGTATTTTATTTAGAGACAGGGTCTCACTGAGTTATTTAGCACCTCACTTTTGCTGATGCTGGCCTGGAACTTGGGATTCTCCTGCCTCAGCCTCCCAAACCACTGAGATTACAGGTGTGTGCCACAGCACCTGGCTTGGTTGCATTCTTATTAAGAATTGATGGTTAAGGCTGGGTTGTGGCTCACTGGTACAGTACTTGCCTAACAAAATAAACAAATAAAATAAGGGCATCTGTCCATCTACAACGACAAAAAAAAAAAAAAAAAGAATTGATGGTTAGCCCAGCTGTAATTCCAGCTACTCCAGAGATTGAGGCAAGAGGACTGAAAAAAGTTCAAGGCGAACCTGCACAACTTAGTGAGGCCTTAAGAAACTTAGCAAGACCCAGTCTTAAAAGTTAAAAAAAAAAAAAAAAGGAGCTGGGAATATAATTCAGTGGTAGAGTGCTTGCCTAGCATGTGAAAGGCCCTGGGTTCAATTCCTAGTATTGGGGATGGGGGAGGGCGAATTGATACAGCTGAAGTCTGAGAAATATTGGGGCCTACATAAATGCAGGAAATAGGCAGCCCATACCACACCAGTGAAAATTCAATCCCACTCCCTTATTTTCTTAAAGAAAATAATTTTATTGTACATCAGTTTAGTGATTATTTCATTCTGCCATTTCTTTATTTATACAAAACTCTCCCTCATTAAATTGAAAATCCCTGAAGGCAGAAACCATGTTTTATTAATATTAATCTCATATAAATGTCAGTTAAATTGATACTTTATTTCTTGGTCACCTGCCCAATTCCTTACAAAGCAATTTTTCCCCACTGGACTAATAACTCCCTGAACAAATTCACCTCTTTGTTCCAAGCCAAGAAGACACTGGGGCTTTATTTATTTAACCAACCTAATCCTTAGGCTCCCAATGTATAATTTGTCTTTCCCTTTCAACTCCTTATTGATTGGTCATGGAGAAGTCAGTGGCACCTTCCTATTGCTGCCCTCCATTCCTGCTTACCTTGTCCTTTCATTATATGTAAAGTCACAAACAACTGGAAATTAGAGGTTGACACATGGCTATTATAATTTGAAGAAGGGACAAAGAAAATAAAAACAAGAAAACTACTAGCTAGTTTTCTGCCCAGTGGAAAGCTCCATTTATTGTTGCTATATTGGACTACAAAGTCTGAGATAACGATAGATTAAACTTGAAAATAGCTTTAGGTAAATTACAAATGTGAATAGAGGTGGGAACCACTGTCCTATAGGCTCTTTTCCCAGGATCCTGCTGTTTAACATCAAGAATGAGGGGCTGGGGTGCAGTACAGTGGTAGAGAACTTACCAAGCATGTATGAGATTCTGTGTTCAGTATGGTGGGGGTCCCCTTCCCTGCTGGCTCTTGGGTCCCTCATACAAAGGTTCCTGACAGGCCTCTCCACTGACCCTCTACAGTAAAGACCATATATTCTAATCCCCAGGTACAGAATAATTTGTAGGCTACTAGACTGTCTTATCTGTATGGATCAGCTGGTTCAGATTTTAGTGGCCAGGAGATGGGAACCAAGAGAATAGCTGCACACTCCCAAAAAGAGATGATCTATGCAGGTTCTGTTGGAAACAGTCATGCGGATATAACACTAAAGTCCTACAACAGAGAAATGAGGCACTAGAGATCAAAAGGCTCAAAAAGGATAGGCTTTTTTTCTCAATTTACCCATAAATGTTATCCCTTCAAATTCTGACTATAAACCTTCTTGATTCTGATTATATATGATTCTCCTAACCTTTGCCAGAGGGCCTCAACCCTGATACACTCTTCATTTCCTGAAGACTTTTTTAGGAGGTACTGATGCCTAGCTCTCACTCTTCTAAGACTGACTTAACTGGTTTAGAGTAAGGCCATGCACTGGGAATCTTTTTAAATTTCCCAGGTGACTCTAGTGTCATATTATGATTGAGAAAAAAAAATGACCCAGATACTGTTGACTCCTAAATTTTTATCTCTAGGACAAATCTTTTTTTTTTTTTTTCAAATTTTTTTTAAATTTTTTTTTTTAAAGAGAGAGAGAGAGAGAGACAGAATGTTTTAATATTTATTTTTTAGTTTTTCGGGGGACACAACATCTTTGTTTGTATGTGGTGCTGAGGATCGAACCCGGGCCGCACGCATGCCAGGCGAGTGCGCTACCGCCTGAGCCACATCCCCAGCCCCTCTAGAACAAATCTTATGTTAGAGGTAGACGAATATTTCCAACTGCCTCAAACCCTACACAAAACTGTATTTGTCTCCTTCCCAAATTTATTCCACAAGAATTACATTAGAGCCGGGCAAGGTGGCACATACCTGTAATCTCAGTGACCTAGGAGGCTGGAACAGGAGGATTAAGAGTTCAACACCAGCCTCAGCAATTTAGCAAGGCCTTAACTAACTCAAGTGAACCCGTCTCAACACATAAATCAGATCATCTAGTACAGTGAGTCCCAGACTTACAGACTTAGTCCCAGCCACATCCCCAGCCCTATTTTGTATTTTATTTAGAGACAGGGTCTCATTGAGTTGCTTAGTGCCTTGCCATTGCTGAGGCTGGCTTTGAATTCAAAATTCTCCTGTCTCAGGCTCCCAAGCCGCTGGGATTAAAAGCAGTTGCCACCATACCCAACTTCATTCTTTTCTTTTTCTACCTAATAAAATTCTATTTTTAACCGTGGTGTTTGTGTGTGCGTGTGTATATATATATATATATATATATACACACACACACACACACGCACACACATACATACATACAATGGAATATTACTCAGCAATAAAAGAGAATAAAATTATGGCATTTGCAGGTAAATAGATGGAGCTGGAGATTATCATGCTAAGCAAAGTAAGACAATCCCCAAAAACAAAAGGCCCAATGTTTTCTCTGATAAATGGATCCTAATCTAAAATGGGAGGGGGGGCATGAGGATGAGTGGAGGAACTTTGGATTAGGCAAAGCGGGAGGGAGAGGAGGGGAGGGGGCATGAGGATAGGAAAGACGATGGAATGAGATGGACATCATTACCCTAGGTACATGTAGACTGCATGAATGGTGTGTCCTTACTTTGTGTACAACCAAAGAAGTGAAAAATCGTGCTCTAGTTGTGTACAATGAATCAAAGAGCATTCTGCTGAAGTATATAACTGATTAGAATAAATAAATTAAAAAAAAAAATATTCTATTTGTTCCTCAAAGGCCCAAATCAATTGTTATATCTGGATGCTGAAGCAGGAGGATCTCAAGTTCAAGGCCAGCCTCATCTGAGAGATAAGTAGGTTGCCCTATTTCCATTCTCTTTTTGAGACCCCCATCAAAAAAAAGGTGGGGGGAGCAGGAATATAGCTCAGTGGTAAAGTGCCCCAACTCATCCAGGTGAAACCAATTACTCCCACCCTCCCTTCCTAAAGCACTATTCTCAAACTTTAGCATGCGGTGCATGCGGTAGTCAACTAAAAAACCTGTTAAAACATGACTATTGTGCCACCTCCAGTCTCTTCTTCTGTAGGAATTCTAGAGTGAAACTCAAGAATTTACATTTCTTTCTTTCTTTCTTTTTTAAAAATATTTTTTAGTTGTCAGTGGACCTTTATTTTATTTATTTATATGTGGTGCTGGGAATTGAACCCAGGGTCTCACACTTGTTAAGCAAGCACTCTACCACTGAGCCACAACCCCAGCCCAAGAATTTACATTTCTTTTCACAGTGCTGGGGATTGAACCCGCGGTATCAAATATGCTACTACCCAACCACACCCTACCCCCAGATGCATTTCTAACAACTTCCTAAGCTATGTCGCTGCTCATGGTCCAGGAAGAACCAAGGCACACTGTCAATGCCACTTTCAGCACAGATCAGGTAGTATTATATTTAACTACATTGAAAAAAAAAATTCCCTTATTGGTTGTGTTCTTTCTAAGATTAAAGACCAATTCTTTTTTTTTTTAATATTTCATTCATTGTTGATGGACCTTTATTTATTTACATGTGGTGCTGAGAATCGAACCCAGTGCCTCCCACATGCTAGGCAAGCACTCTACCACTGAGCCACAACCCCGGCCCCAAAGACCAATTCTTCATTCATTTTTGCATATCTCATAATGCTTGGCAATGAGAAAATTATCAGCAAATGGTTTATATGTGAGATGCCCCTCAAAAGCTCATGTGTGAGACAATGCAAGAATTTTCAGAGGTCGAATGGCTAACTATGAGGTGTAATCAGTGGATTGATCCATTGATGAGAATTAGCAGAGCAGTACAATAGGCAGGCCAGGTGTGGATGGAGAAGTAGGCCACTCAGGGTGTGACTCTGGGGTTTATAATTTGCCTTGGTAAGCAGAACTCTCTCTACTACCTGGTTGTCATATCTTGTGCTTCCTGATGCCACACCCTTCCACTGCAATGTTCTGCCTCACCTTAGGCCCAGAGCTATGGAGTTGGCCTACCCTGGACTAAAGCTCTTAAGCTCTGAAACCGTGAGCCCAAAAAATAAAAATTTTCCTCCTCTAACTTATTCTTGTCAAGTATTTTAGCCACAGCAATGAAAAGCTGACTAAAACATGTATGGTAAAAGTGAACCTTCTCAATGATGGAGAAACGTCTA